TTTTTCGAGACAGGGTTTCTCTGTGTAGCTTTGCACCTTTCCTGGAACTCACTTGGTAGTCCAGGCTGGCCTTGAACTTGCAGAGATCCGCCTGGCTCTGCCTCCCGAGTGCTGGGATTAAAGGCGTGTGCCACCACCACCCGGCACCTCACTGCTCTTTTAAGAGGCCCTGCTGCCAAACACTTAAATGGTGTTTATGAGCAGCAGGCAGCACAATAATCAGTGGTGGTGTGGACCTAAAACCTCCCCAGAGTTGGGGGCGATACATGTGGTTCCTGCAGTATCTCTGCCATGAAGCTAGACTCTCAGAGAGCCAAGGAGTGGGGTGGAGACGGCCATTTTAATCTAGCTGCTTTAATCATAGCCACACCTGTTTAGCAGATTAAATGCTATGTGGTCAGGAAAAGATAAAGATATGCAGTAAAGACAGATTCAGAAAACAACAACAACAACCTCTAAACAGTTTACAATGTGTTTACAAATACATGTAGGCTTGGGAGAGTAAAGAGAAGGTATAGACAGTCATAAAAAAGAAATATATAGTTTTAAAATAATAAAATGCTTAAAAAGGGAATAAAGTAATGTAAAAAAGCCATGTAAAGATGGAAAATACACAGAGTGTCTGGATACTGTATGTTATTATGTTGTTTTTGAGTTGTTTGACTACTGAGGAAAGAGCAACAACTGCCAAGAGACATTTGATTATAAATGTTGCTGAATTAATCCAACCTATATGTTTTGAAAATGCCTTGATTTCAAAATTTAAGTCAAAAGACGTGTTACTTTGGAGGGGAGTTTGTGCCTTTATTTCCACAGGAATGAGAGGCTGTAGATTCATTCTGTGTAAAGAAAAATCAGATTTGACCAATGAAGATCTGAAAAAATTCTAGTGGGAACAGATGGCACAGATGATCCAATGTTTCAGAGCACCTCTGTTACAGTTTCCTCTGAGTTCTGAATCCAGAAAGGCTTCAAGGCTGCTGGCTGAGATGACCCAGCCTTACAGACTACTCCAGTCAGGACTTGACTATAATCCTAAATTTTCTCAGGGTCCCCATAAGATTAACAGTGCCCCCAATCAGCAGGAAGTAGCCTAGAAAACTATGCCCACATTCACAAAAAATGGATTATAGATATTTGTTTTTGTTTAGGGGTTTTGGATACAAATTGTTATTGGTCATAATCGATCTCTTTCTAAAAGAAGAAAGGGGGTATGATATAAAAATGATGAGAAAAAAGGGTAGATTATTAAATCTACTTTAATCCAAAAAACAACTCTTAATCTTACATATTTTACATCAATATGGATCTTAGTTTATTGATGGCAAATTTAAAGTTAATTTTGTTATACTGTATGTATATTTCTATTCTTATTTAGGTGCAACACATTTAAAATGTAATATATAAATTTAAAAATATGGATTAATAATCATCTATAATTGCAAACTTATGGTCATACAAGGTCATACAGAGATATATTTCAGATAGATAGTCAATCTTCAAACACTTCAAAGACCTACAGAATATGGCATTTAAAATGTTTTAAGAACTTAGACTTTTCTCGGCAATGAGACACATTTGCTCCTGGTATCACCAATTACTTGAAATAGGATGATGGGCATTGAAGAAACTCCTTATGGAGTTTGTTTTCTTTATGGCAAAAGTTAGCCATGTGGATAAAGAAAGTGCCCATGCTCAACTACTGACAATATGCTGTACAAACTGGACAAGAGGGACACAAAAGAAAGTGACTGCAGAACTTTGCCAAGATCAGGTGGGACAGCCCTTCAAAAATCCTGCTTCACAGATAAGTCTGTCAAATATGCTAGGCCTGTAGGCTGAAGATGCATGCCCCGGCATTGCAGAGGAACTTTGGGTGATTGTCTGGGCAGCCTGATGTTCCTGTCATTAAGTAACATTACATCCTTCTGGAGTCTTTGATTGAGTTGAAGACTAGATAGTTATAGTTTTCTTTAGTTATAATAAAAGATAAATTAGATA